AGTCATAGGCGACTAATAAAGTATATGAGGTCGAATAATTGCGAAATAAATGCAGTTTTGAAAATTTTTTGAATATTAAAATGTTTCGTTTTGTTTCGTTTCGTTTCGTAAGATTTTGGTTGTTTCGTTTCGTTTCGTTAACGAAACGATTTTTAAAAAATTTTGTTTCGTTTCGTTTCGTCAGAAAAAAATTTTGAGTTTCGCCCAGGTCTGATGTGAATAGTTAAAGAAACCCGATAAAGAATTTAAAAAATAATTTTAATATAACCGGGAATTCCAAGTCTAGTAAAATCAATCGGATTTCTATAAAATTCAAGAAATTGGAGATATCCTGGAAAGAACACTGAAGCAGAAACATTAAAAGTATTTTGAATCCCTAAAACATCAAAGACAGCAAAAGATCCGGCTATCACACTAAACTCAGCAATTCCAGCTGAATAGTTTTGCTGTTTAAGCCAGTTTAAAAGTTGCCCATTTGTAATTATTTCTTTAATAAAAAATTATTATATTTTATTATTTAAATATTTTATTAACAAGTAAAATTTTTTTACTATTTAGAAGCAAAATGATACAGAAACATCAAAAATTTCTAAAATTTCCAATCAATTAGAATTCAAAAATATTTATTAATAATTTCAAAACTAAACGTCTACCGATCATTAATCAGAAGGGTTGGTCCCCGTCCCTGTCCTCGAAAGTCGGGGAAGTTGAGAGATTTTTTGAAAATTCCCCGTCCCCGTCTCCCTCCCACCCCCCCCCCCCCTTCCGTGGCGCTGCCTCTCCGAAAACCTTTCCCCATGGCTCTCACCCCCCCCTTCCGTCGGGGACCAACCCTTTTAATCAGTACACGTATCTGGAGGAAAGCTTTACTTTTAAATATTACAAATTTAAATTAGTATTACCATAATAAATTCCCACATTCCAATATTTAAATCCTCTTTTATAATCTTGATATGCATATTCTAGTCCATGATTCCTAATAATACTTTGAATCAAATTTTTTTCATCTATTGGTACTTCTATAACTTCAAAACGATGCGGTGGTACTTCCTTTCCATTTTCTTTTTTATAAAGAAGCATATGCTGAAATAATAAATTATATACCTTAATATTTCATATGTTCTAGATAAGATTCCTTTTTTACGTTTGGTGACCAAAATTCCAAAAAGATTGGTGACCAAAATTCCAGTGACCAAAAACCAATCGACTTGCGGATTATAGGCTCTAAATAATTCCATAACTTCTAGACCAATTCTCGAAGTGGCCCCGTCCCCGATTCCCCGTCCTATCACGTAATCACTTACCACAGTGTGTTTGTCGGATAAAATGTTAGCCAACAATGTCTGAAAATATTTAAATAAATAAAAGTTTTGGTTCATTTTTTAAATTGTAGGGAGGCAGTTATTTATGTACAAATATAATTTACATTTAGTTCCAAGTGAGAGTAGAAATAGTTGTCGCAAATATATAAAATTTTCTTTTTTCCTTCTTCATGAGCACCTCCTGAACTTTGTCCAAAATAGCTTCCAGTATAACCTCCTCCAAATTCTGACACATTGGATGTTACACCTTGACTTGGTTCTCCATAATATTGTCCATGACTTTGTCTTTCAGTTTCCTCTGATTCAGAACCCTCACTTCCACTTCCAGAACTCAAAGTTCCTCCATGACCGCCAGTACCTCCTCTCTTACAACAATTACCTCTTTTAAATCGACGTTTGTACAAACTTTTTCCCCTAGTTTTTGGACATTTACAATTTCTCTCAATGGAAATATTGACAAAAATTAATAAAAATAAAATCCAAAAAATTAATTTTAAATACATTTCCTCTACAAATTTCTATTTTAAATTAAATTAAAATTTATTTTTAAATGATTATAATTAAAAAAATCAAAATTAAATAAAAATATTCGTTAAATTATTTAAAATGAATAGCCAATTTAAAATCTATAATGAATGATCAGCTACTATTTTAAATGCATCTCTACATGCACGCATATTTAAAAATGTGGCAAGCATCGGCATTAAAATTTTTATTCAAAAAATTGATTAAAATTATCAAAAATCTATGTTTTATAGATAGGGCCCGAATATAATGCTATTGCCTTATATGTAGCCGAATACAAGGCTACATATAAGGCTACAACTATTTATAAAAGGCTACAACTATTTATAGTCATAGAACAGAGATACCTAAAATACCGTATATGTTATAATAATTATCAGGGTAATTATTGCTTCACTCTCTGTCAGGAGGGGGTAATTAATAGGGCGAGTGATTATTTTAGAGAGAGTCTTGGGATATTCCGTCCACACAACTTTGTTATTTGTGTCCGTTTTATGCTTAAGTTTGGCGGATTTTATTTAACTTTGAAAATTTTCTCAAAATTTTAAAATCAAATCTAAAATTTTAAATACAGAATCAGAATCTAGATCACTTAAAAATTGTGTTAAATTATTTATTAGAGCCCGGCTCGATACGATATTTTTTCAATATTCGGTTTCGATATTTATCGAAATAATACCGACCAACCCCTCCGTCCTGGCTTTAATGAGAGCCTCCGCCGGGAGGAGAGCTTTTTAGAGCCTCCGTCGACTCTAATGTATTTATCAAAGAAAAAAGAGAGCGAAAATTTTTTCTTTGAAAAAAATATGCTGAGCTGTTAAAGAAACTTCAATGGTCTAAGCAATAAAAGACATTGCCAGGAACATTTAATTAAACTTTTTGATATTAGGCAAATAGTTTCACAAGGTCGAAAAAATGAATTTAATTAATAACCGTTTACAAAAAAAACTTTTTTATCCAAAGTTAAAATAAATCCCAAATATCCATCAAAAATTGGACGTTTTTTTAAATCTAATTGAATATATGTATTAAAAATACACAGAGTTGCCGTCATATTTGAATTTTTTTAAATTTTTTTTCGCGAAAATTAAGGTCCTAATTGGAAAATTTATTTTTACTATTATATTAATAATAAATAATAATTATAACATTTACTATCAATTAATCCCCAAGATATTATTTTAGATATAAGACGGCAACTTTGTTATCAAAATAAATGTTTTTAAATCAAATTTTAAAAAATCATAATAGTATAAAAATCTCCAATTTAAATAAATCCCACAAAATGAATAACTTAGTCAAAACCCAATTTTTCACGAAAATTAAATTCTTAATAGGACAATTATAATTTTTCCAATCTATTTATCCTCAAAATTGTTTTTAATGAAAGTCGGCAACTCTGTCATTTAAATAAATGTTTTTAAATAAACTTAAAAAAATACCCAAATTTAAATAAAACCCCCAAAATAAATCCCCAACAAATTTAAATAAATCTAAAAAATCCCAACAGTTTCTTAATTCCCCAAATTCTTCCTTTATATGTACAGAATGTTTAGACTCTCTCCCTTCCTCACTTGCTGGAGAAGGCACAGACTAGTTAAAAATAAACTTTTCTTTATTAATGTCTCTCATTGAACATAACACAGAGTAAAATTGGAGTAAAATTGAGAAAAAGAGAAAGTCTGACCATTCTGTACATATAAAGGAAAGAATTGGTGAAGAAAAAAGGGGAACCCTAAACCTTGGTTTACCCCGGCTCAGTAAAACATTTTAAAAATCCCAATTTAAATAATACCCAATCCGATTTAAAAAATCACCAAAAAACCCTTTAATCCCAACAATCACTTCATCATCAGAGCCATCCATTTTTTAAAAAATCCCCATCCATTTAAAAAAAACCCCCCAAAAAATCCAAAATTAAAAATAAATAAATCCCCATACAATTTTAAAAAAAACCCCTAAAAATCCCCCCAAAACTCTCTAAAAATCCACAAAAAAATCCCCAAAAATCCCAACAATCTCTTCTTCATCACACAATCATTCCCCAATATATTCTTCAATCTTTCCAATAAAAATGCTTTTTATCCATGGATTGTTGTTGTCGTAGAAATCATCAAGTATTTTAGTTCTCAGTTTGTTTACAGCTTCTTGATAAATATTTTGATTAATATTTCTAAAATAAATGATTTATTTAAATAATTTAAATAATCATTCAGTATTACCTTTTCCTAATTATATCTTCAAGAGCATTTTCAATTTGTTCACTAAAATTCTGGTTCGGTAATACAAAGAATCCAATACCTAGGTGTTCAACAAGGGAGGAAAGGTAAAACTGATCACCCCCATCTGGAATACAGATCAATGGAACACCGGCATAGATTGACTAAAATATTAATTTAAGAATTAAATAATGGTTTAATGTTTGTAAATACGGTTGTCGGTTCCAGGAAATTCGTTGGATATCCGAAACTGAATCAACCGAAAAATCCTCAGTTATTCGGTTAGGGATATTGAGATTTTTACAGTATACATTTAAACTCCACAAATTTATACACAATTTCAACATCGATATTCAAATATTAATAAAAGTATCTAAGCTCTAGTTTTCGACCAGGCTCTAGTTTTTATTTGTTTTGAAACTACATAAAAGGTGGGGAAAAGTCGCATAAAAAGCATCCATATATAATAATCGTTTGTTTGAAATGAGATATTTATTAAATTGAGTTTTGATAGTATTAAATTAAGTTACCTCAGTCAAACTATTCATTCCACAATGGGAAATAAATAATTTTGTATTTTCTTTAGCTGAAACATAAAATAAATTGAGATTAATTAAAAAATCATTTAATTACCCAATATTTTTTGTTGATTAACAAATCCTTTAAAAGAGATATTTGTCTTGCGATAATGTCTTTTTAAATGATGATCTTTTCCCAATGTGACTTTAAATAAGCAATGCTTATAATTTGTAAGAATGTCAAGCATTATTTTAAGATTATCAACATCCATCCCTTCAATGTTTATTGTACCAAAGGAGACATAGACAACACAATCACGCTTTAAATAATTATACAAATATTATTTATACCGTAAATGCTCGAATAATTACCCTCTCTCAAATAAGAGAGACTACATAGTATAAAAAAGTATCATTTAATTATACATCCTTTTCTTAGCCAAGACCTTTGAGAAATAAAAATGAAGGGGACCTTTCTTCCTTGCCTTAAGAGACAACAATTTCTGTTCTGAAGCTACAATGAGGGCTACTATCCTATTTAAAATAAATTTTACTTCTCCCGGTGAAGACTCTGTTTTTCCTCTTTTAGTTAAAATTCGTTTATTCTCCTCGACAACAATACCACCAATATAAATAATTTTTTCATGTTCAGGAAATTGTTCAAAATTTAAAAATTTGTGTTGATTCATAAAATGATAGTTAATTTTTTGAAATAATTCAACCAAGTTTGGTATTTGGTCTTCTTCAATAATCTCTTCATATATCAAATCTCTATAATTTGAATTAGAAATTTGTGTTAATTCTGTTAAAACTCGTTGATTTATAGCTTCATAATTTGTAAAATGACCACCATGGGTCCACGCTTCTGGCACAGTATATTGATATTCTTTAAATATTTTTATTATACATATGTAGTAAATTATAACAAATTTATTAAATCACATGTCGAAAATTTTGGTAATATTGAATACCGATTTTTTCCTCACCAAGTTTTTTGATATAAATCTGAAGAATGGGGGGCTGCCAGATTCAATATTACCAAAAATTTAATGTACTGTGGGAGTGTCGTATAAATGAGGTACTTATATAGGAGAAAAAAATTTATTCTTATCTGCCAGTATGTCTGAATCGAAGGCCTTATGTGAAGGATTAAAAGCATAATGACACAACTTTGTCTAATCAAGCATGATTTGATATTTAGGGGTGTAGAAAATGAATTAAACACTATTTAGAATCATTTTTTAACCAATCTTGTCCGGTCCTAGTTAATACAACAAAGAAACTTGAGCTAATTTTAGCTTTGACTTTATGTGAATAGTTAAAGAAACCCAATAAAAAATTTAAAAAATAATTTTAATATAACCGGGAATTGCAAGTCGAGTAAAATCAATCGGATTTTCATAAAATTCAAGAAATTGGAGATTTCCTGGATAGAACACTGAAGCAGAAACATCAAAAGTATTTTGAATCCCTAAAACATCAAAGACAGCAAAAGATCCGGCCATCACACTAAACTCAGCAATTCCAGCAGAATAGTTTTGCTGTTTAAGCCAGTTTAAAAGTTGCCCATTCGTGATTATTTCTTTAATAATAAAATAATTTTATTTAAATATTTTATTATCAAGGAAAATCTTTTATCTATAAGACAGAAACTGAAGCAGAAACCTTAAAATTTTTAGAAATTCCAATCAATCAAAACCGAAACATACGGCAAAGCTACATATATTCATTCAAAACTAATACGTCTACCGATCATTAATCAGTACAAGTATTTGGAGGCCAGCTTTACTTTTAAATATTACAATATTAAATTAGTATTACCATAATAAATTCCCACATTCCAATATTTAAATCCTCTTTTATAATCCTGATATGCAATTTCTCGTCCACTATTTCTAATAATACTTTGAATCAAATTTTTTTCATCTATTGTTACTTCTATAACTTCAAAACGATGCGGTGGTACTTCCTTTCCATTTTCTTTTTTATAAAGAAGCATATGCTGAAATAATAAATTAGGTATATACCAGGGATGTCACGGGTTACCCGAAACCCGATACCCGAAACCCGGCCTTTTTTTCGACCCGATACCCGAAACCCGATCCGAGAAATTTTCTAAAACCCGACCCGAAACCCGACCCGAGAATTTTTATTTTTCAAAACCCGACCCGAAACCCGACCCGAGTTTTTTCAAAATTTTCGCCCGCGTCGCAGAAAAAGGGAAGATTTTTAGCTTAATGATCCTCCAAAATTCTGAAAATTTTCGCCTGCGGCGCTGAAAAAGGGAAGATTTTTTAGCTTAATGACCTCCAAAATTTTGAAAATTTTCGCCTGCGGCGCTGAAAAAGGGACTTTTTTTCGACCCGAAACCCGATCCGAAGAAAATTTTGAAAACCCGATCCGAAACCCGACCCGACTTTTTGCTCAACCCGAAACCCGAAACCCGATCCGAGAAAAATTTTGGAAACCCGACCCGAAACCCGACCCGACATTTTTCTCAACCCGTGACATCCCTGGTATATACCTTAATATTGCATATGTTCTAGATAAGATTCCTTTTTTTACGTTTGGTGACCAAAATTCCAAAAAGATTGGTGACAAAAGTTGCGAAAAATCTTAGTGACCAAAATTCCAGTGTCCAAAAACCAATCGACTTACGGATTATAGGCTCTAAATAATTCCAGAACTTCTAGGCCCCTTCCCGATTCCCCGTCCGATCTCGTAATCACTTACCACAATGTGTTTGTCGGATAAAATGTTAGCCAACAATGTCTGAAAATATTTAAATAAATAAAAGTTTTCCATTCATTTTTTTAAACTGTAATGGGGCAGTTATTTATGTACAAATATAATTTACATTTAATTCCAAGTGAGAGTAGAAATAGTTGTCGCAAATATATAAAATTTTCTTTTTTCCTTCTTCATGAGCACCTCCTGAACTTTCTCCAAAATAGCTTCCAGTATAACCTCCTCCAAATTCTGACACATTGGATGTTACACCTTGACTCGATTCTCCATAATATTGTTCTCCATATCCTCCGCCTCCTCCTTGAAATATTTCACCAAATCCTCCCTGATTGCCTTCTCCATGACTTTGTCTTTCAGTTTCCTCTGATTCAGAACCCTCACTTCCACTTTCAGAACTCAAAGTTCCTCCATGACCGCCAGTACCTCCTCTCTTACAACAGTTACCTCTTTTAAATCGACGTTTGTACAAACTTTTTCCTTTAGTTTTTGGACATTTACAATTTCTCTCAATGGAAATGTTGACAAAAATTAATAAAAATAAAATCCAAAAAATTAATTTTAAATACATTTTCCTCTACAAATTTCTTATTTTAATAAAATTAAATTAAAATTCATTTTTAAATTATTATAATTAAAAAATCAAATTTAAATAAAAATATTCGTTAAATTATTTAAAATGAATAGCCAATTTAAAATCTATAATGAATGATCAGCTACTATTTTAAAATGCATCTCTACATGCATGGATATTTAAACATGTGGCAAGCATCGGCGTAAAGATTTTTATTCAAAAAATTGATTAAAATTATCAAAAATCTATGTTTTATAGATAGGGCCCGAATATAAGGCTATAACATTTATAGACATCGAAGAGGGAATCCCGGGCTAAAACCCCAAAAACCCGGATTTTATCAAATAGCCGGGTTTTCCGGGCTACCGGCCCGGAAAACCCGGTCCCGGCCCGGAGTTGAACTCTACTAAATATTCAAGTCATATCCTTAAGAAGAAGTTTATCCTTTCTATCCTACAAAGATGTGATTCTTCAACTTTTAATATCAATTATTTGATATCAATTTCTACTCACTTTAAGAAAAAAGTGAAAATAAATTCTAAGAAAAATAAAATTCAATGTTAGAGATATACATAAATCAAAATTTATTTTTAACTGATTTTATTTTAAATTTCTAAAAATCGTTTTAATTGCTTAAGATTAATCTTTCTAACAAGGGGTCTAACAGGGTTATTTTCGAAGTTTTATCATTTTATGTTGAGTTTAAATTTTTTATGATGCTTTTTCACTAAAATAGGTGTAACAAAATTATAAGGCACCTTAACATTTTTCGATTTACAAAGCTCCAAAAATTCTACAAAAATTCCTGTGAATTTTTGTAGAATTTCTCCCGTCTCTCAATAAAAGTTTGAAAAATTTTAGAGAGATTTTTGTCAAAACTCCAAATATCTCAGCCAACATATATTTGCTTATTTCTTAGAGACGTCCGAGACTTGATTCCAAGACTCTTGAGTCTTGATTTCAAGACCTTTCTTAGGTTTTTTCGATCTTGGTCTAAAGGTGAAAGTTAGTTTAATATTTCACAATCCTATTTCCGCCTTAAATTAGTTAAAAAATTTTTTTTTTTTCAATTTTTGGTAATAGTGTCGTTTCCAGTCCCCCTTTTTTCGTCCCCGATTTTTTACCCTATACTTGTACGGAATGGCCAAATTTTCCCTTTTCTTCCATCAAATTTGCCTTTCTATATTTTGCCTAAAAGCAATCAAAAAGATTAATTTTTTATTCAGTTCTTTCACAGGGATAAAGTAGTGAGACATGATGATATCATACTTTTAAATATCACAAATTAATCTTTTTGCTTGTTTTTAGGCAAAATATAAAAGCAAATTTGATGGAAGAAAGGGGAAGATTTGACCATTCCATACAAGCATAGGGTAAAAAATTGGGAAGTAAAAAAGGGGGACTGGAAACGACACTACATATTACCCAATTTTTTAGTCTAGCCTAAAATTTTGACCTTAAAATCTTTTTTAACTCACCCCCATTTTCTAGAATTTATATTTTTTTTTAATTTTTTCTCATACATAATCCATCTAAAATATAAACTTTTATATTTATTAGGGTATTCAATCACTAATTTTTATTGTCTAAAAAACCTCTTTTTTGATCAATTAATTTCCTTTTAATTTAAATCAGCGGTTTCGCGCATTCTCTCTCTCCTTTCCCTCCCATTGTGACTAAACACACACAAACCTTTCTTTTATTTTTAAACAAAGAGAGGCAACAAAAACAGCCCTTTTTAATAAAAAAGGAAGAAATAGGGCCAAGTTGATTTAAACAAATTAATTTTATAAAATTTTAAAACTTGATTTAATTAATTTTGTTAAAAAATTGAGAAAGATTTGCCTAGTTTAAATTTTAAAAGAAAATTTAGAAATCTCTCTAAATTTAATTTTAAAATTAATTTTAAAATTTTTTGAACTAATTTATTATACTCTTTTAAATGTCCCTAAAATAAATTTATTTTATATGTAGTTCTAATTTTTTCTAGAAAGTCTCGTTAATTAAAATTTTTTTGATTTTAATTTATTTTAATTTTCAAGTTTAAATAATTAATTTTTATAAGGAAATTCTGTAGTCTTTTAAATTTAGAAAATAGAGAGGGATTTTGTATTTAATTTTTTTCATTTATAATTGCCTATATGTACCGTATTTGCTAAAATAATTACCCAGGGTAATTATTGTTAGAGTTTCACCGGAACCGAAATTTTGACCGAAACCGGAACCGGATCCAATTTGAGTTCCGGTTCCCGGAAACGGAACATACGGTGAAACCCTAATTATTGTTTCGACCTTTCACTTGAGTTAATTAAAAGGAGGCGGTAATTATTTGAGAGAGGGCAATTATTTCACTCTAAAAATTATTCAGTACTTGTCGTTATCAAATCTCATTATTTCGAATCTTTTTCTAATGAATCTCGTTGTTATCCATGACTTTTAGTTGGGTACATTGCTGGGTATTGTGCATTTGTGTGCTCCGGCTCCGAGCTTTTAAAATTTTGGCTACGGCTCTGCCGGAGCTAGCTCCCGGAGCCATACCCAGCACTGGTTGGGTATCGTCCATTTTTCTTAGCTCACCATTTATTTACTATACCCTGAATAGATTTCGAGAGTGTCTTGAAAATCGTCTACAAAGTATTTTCATTTATTTTCCAATTTTCAAGTGAACTTTTGTAAAAAATTCTAAATAAAAAATTTTCTAATATAGGCAATAAATCAAAAAATAAATTTTTTTCCTATTAAAATGTCATTTATTCTGTTAATTGTTCAAAGCATTTTATTGCTAAAAATAGCAGAAGGTTTGTTGTTGGAAAATAAATTAAAAATAAATTAGTTTTAAGGTGCACAGAAGTGTTATTTTGGTGATTTTGTGGACGGAAAAGTTAAGGAATGTAAAGAAAGTAGCTGGAAATGTGCTACTTTGATTTGCCCGGGGACGGGTAATTTTTAAACTTCGCCAATAATACTCCAAATCAGAATAACACCCCGAGCCTTCGTGGCGTGATCGACGGGAATAGGGGTTTGCCGGGGAATCGGTGTCCTACTCCAAAATAATATAGAGTATATGAAGGGTGTAGTATATTACTATAACTAAGAGAATCTATGTATTGTGAAACATAGTCTGGGAATTTTTTTGAGAGATTGGAATTATTCCGATTGAATTTACATAATCTATAATATTGGACAACTGGATATGACTTAGTTATCGTTTGTTACAATTTTAACTGGCTTAGGCTTCCCCTCAAAATTTTAGTCCAAAAAATCCTTTCGGCCCTTCAATTGATATACCTTCCATTAAAAAACTTTAGAATAATCCAAAATTAATTTTTTTTAAAGTATTTCGTGGCTGTTTATCACCAAACGGAGTTTGCGGCGACCTCATAAATTTATTCACAAGTTGTAAAGAATCATCTCCTCAATGCTTTCTTTGTGAAGGGGATCTTTGCAATGACAACTCCACAAACACTTCGAATAAAAAATTTGAAGCAACAAGTGTGCTAAGCGGGGCTAATGACACAAACATAACAGAAGAAAGTAGTACACCTTTTATTGCAAAAGATGTTCCAATAGAGAGTAGCACAAACAGTACAGCAACAAATTCTAGCAGTCCAATAGAAAGTATTACGAATCAAAATGCGACAGCAGAAATGCTGAAATCAAATGCTGGAAATAATACTGTGAATGGCAGTAACAAGAACAGCAATAGTCAATACTATATTCAATCTTTTTTGATTGCTTTATTTTTTGTTGTGGCCACCATTATTTAAATTAAAATTCATCTTATATGTAATTAAGTTGGCTTAAAGGGAAATTTTGACATAAAAATCGTGGGTCCTTGGTAAATTCGAATTAGATTTAGGGATGCCGTTTTCGGTCCGATCGAGTCATTTTTTTCGGACCCCATTTTTATCGGGCCGGCCCAACCGAGTCTTTTTCGGGCGACTGGGCCGGCAACCCTAATCGACTGGGTACCAAACGGCAACCCTAAATTAGGTTGCCGACTCGACTGGGCCGGCAACCCTAATTTAGATTGAAAGTTTTCAAAATTTTCTTTAGAACGGGTTTTGGATCAGAAAGTGTTAGGGTCTCTTGAAACTTTTTTTACATTCTCTCTCTTTGTACAAACCAATGATTGGCAAAAAATTGCCAAACCAAAATTCAGATCGGGTTTTGGATTCCTGGTAGAAAACCTTCTCAATTTCGGATAATCCTAACTATCCCTTACCTAACCCGTTTTTTAGTAAAAAAAATTTTTACAAACGCCAATATTTAAAAAAATTATTAAATTTTTATGTCAACTTTTATTATTCAAATACCTCATCCCTATATGTACATACATATGCTTAAAACAACATATTATTGTTTCATTTAATCTCAAATTATATTAAGAATTTAATAAAAGGATTAAATTAAATATTTTAGTTTTACTCGAAAACTTTAGCATTTTTGTTTGGCACGGGCAGAGAAATTTCAATTTGCAAAGTTTGTGGTTTCGAAAGTTTGAAAATTTTTTTGGGTCAAAAAGTAAAAAAATCTGGCTTCTTGGCTTTAAAACTTTTAAAGAAATTTTTCGCATGTGTCGCGTGACAGATAGAACCGCAGATACTTTATTGCCTATTCTGAAAATTAGTTATGGATGAGCAGCATTTGGCGATTTAAACACACTTATCAAGGGTACATGCCAATAACTGCCGCCAATGAACTGCACGCCCAATGTATGTACGTCCAATTACTGACAAAGTTGTTCCAACAACATTATTTTTTAATTTAAGTTGACCAGATAAAGTTTTTAGATTATTTGCTGATTAATAATATTCTTGGGGCGTTTATATTTGGGATACTATTTCTGGATGTATATACATTCATGGGACGCTTGTACTTTTCATGGGACGTATAATTTTCGTGGGACGCAGACACTACCTCTGGGATGCATATCTTAAAGTCGAGCCAAAAATATTCTACGTGTTAAGTATAGAGAAATTAAAGGAGAATGTATTAAGAGCTTGGCAATACCTCCTCATTTTATTAGATACTTCTTTCGAATTTAAAATGTGGCTAATTAAATAATTAAATAAAAATAAATAATTAAATTACTGCTAAAGTTGCGCGACTTGTTTTTTAGAAAAACTGAGAGGATCATCGAGTCTGCTAAAATCTGCTAAAACCGAGATTCATACATAAGTTAAGATGCTGGTGCAGAGAAGGTCTTGGGAAAAATTTTCAAAGAAACCAAAATTTTTTAAATTAACGCCGCAGGCGAAAAAGCTAGAATTTCCGATTCTGGCAGGTAAAGTCGATTTAAACAGGATTTTTTGGATTAACTTGATTAGAAAATAATCCGGGTTTGAGCCGGAGTTCAGAAAAATCATAATTTTCTTAATTTTCGATAATGTAACAAACGAGATTTTTTTGTAATTTAGAAGACCAAGAAGTACATAGATTTCTTCCTTTTCTAGCCCTACAGGCGAGTTTCTGAGATTTTTATGGATAATAGCCAAATTTTACCTATTACTGCCGAAAAAGTCCATCCTTAGGGCCATATATTTAGTAGAGAGCGAGATTTTCAAAAAACCTTGACCTTGATCCTTGACCTCGATTTTAAGTAAGGACCTTGACCAGATTCTTGACCTTGAGTCAAGGAAAAATCAAGGAACGCTAAGAAATTCCTTGATCTGGATTCTGGATCAGTAAAAATCAAGGTCTGGATCCAGATCCAGTCCGCTCCCTAATATTTAGTCTCTGACCTTGGCGAGGTTCTTGGCGAAGACCGAGATAATGTTCCGAGACCAAGGCCGGTCAAACAGAGACCGAGAGACTAAAAATACCTACATATATTGTTTATTTTCAGAAAATGTATTATTTAAAATTAATTATTTACATTTTCTTTTTGTTAATTTTCTTCAACATTTCTGTTGGAAGAAATAAAGGAAAAAAGAATTTATTATCCCACCGTCGCTGTAAAAGGGGTAATAATTTTGGTCGTTGTTTTGGAGGTGGAAGTAGCAGAAGGTCTAATCAACCTTTTAAACAACGTGAAGGAAAGGCACATGTAGAGGAAAAAAGTAAAATTAAAGTAGGAAACTCAAAGAAGAGGGCTTTGTATGTTACTAATAACTCTTTCTACTCTCATCTAAAATTGAACGTAACTCTATAATTTCTTTACCTGAAACTTAATTAAGATTTAAGAAATTTTTGGCCGAGACTTTGACAGAAAAATATAGCGTGGTATGTTAATTAATGCTCTCTTATAGGGTTGTCGGTGTTTCAATTCGAGCCGAATACTATTTTTGCTATTTAACTAGGCTCTGCTTCATAACGATAACTCAACCCCGATTTTTCGAGTTTAGGCATGATTTTAAAGCCTGTCTGAACAGAAACAATTATAAAATGATTCGATCACCAGCTATTGATAAATAAATATAAATTACAGGACCTGCTTATTTACACTAAAGAAAGTGGGGAACATTTCAATTTCGATTCAAATCCAGATCTTAACATTTTTGAGGTTCCAATAGGAGAGAATTTTGTAGATTTGAGTATAGATTATTTTGTTAAAATTTATACTGGTTAGTTTTATTTTGAAATTTTCTGAGTAAAATATTAAAAGATTTGAGGGAAAAAAGACTAAAATTATTATTGAAAGATAATGCCTAGTATCCGAGTGTCGGGTGATATTTTGTTAAAAAACGAAAATAATAATGAATTTCACAAACGATAATTCATTTAATTGCCATTATAAGAAAGAGAAAGATCCAGCTGGCTAACATTTAAAACGCTCACTAGGCGGGGGTTTAAGATCTATTAAAAGAGAAGGTGAAAGCTCAGTCGGTAGGACACCTGTACGTGGTGAGCGAAGCGTCTAGCATAACTGCCAGGGGCCTATTCCACAAAGCGACATTGACATCAAATGTCGCGACATTTGGCAATCGCTTGACATTCCGATTGCGATTGTGTTCCACATAGCGACATCAAAATTATTTTGTGACATCGACATTGACATTTACTTTTAGCGACATTGACAGCGAAATGTCGCGATTGAGTTCCACAAAGATTTTAAATTCTAGTGTCAATCGACAATAGCAATCGAAATGTCGCGATTTTTGCGACACAGCACGAACGCTATGTCGCTATTGGGAAATATGTGGAATTTTGATAAAAATTTTTGATAAATTTACTTTTTTAAGTATTTTATGAATATTTCCATTAACTTTTTAATAAAATAAGTGGTTTTAAAGTGAATTGGGGATATGAGAAATGCGTTTCATCAGTTGCACCTGCGACGTGAAAAATCACAAATCTGGCTCGTTGGCCTTCTAAAATTCTCAAATTTTTGCTTGTAGTTCCCCGACTGCTTGTAGTTCCCCGACGTTCCCCGACACAACCGCCCCCGAGCCTTCGGGGCCCAACCTTACTATATATTATTATTGGGATGATTATATGTACATTGATGGAACGCATAAAAGTCCATGAGGCGCAGAAAAGCTTATGGATGTCCTAAAGTAAAGTCAAAGTATCTCCTTTTTTGCAGCAAAACATAAAGGATAAAATAATATAAGAACAAATTTTTCTGAGATTTGTCAAATCCAATCCCCAATATTAATTCTAAAAACTAACTAATTCCATTCTTAAAGAAATATTCAAAAACGAAAAACAAAAAGTTAGAAATAATTATATTCTCCAACAAAAATATGCTTTTGGAATTGCTGAGTTTACTGAAATGGCTGGAGCTTTTGCATTGTTCGAAGCTTTGGGAATTGAAAATACTTTTAGTGTTAATGCTTCTATTTTCTTCCCAGTATATTTCCAACTTCTTGATTTTGATATTATAAAACATATGGAAGGGGGAAATATTATTCCAGGTTAGAATATTATTCCAGAATTTTTGGAAATTTTAAGGTTAAGGTACATTTGAGGTTTAAGGTAATGTATTTACGATACCTATATTGTTTGAGAAAAATTAAAGATAAAATTAAAGATTTGCATTGAAAGATATATATGTAGAAACTATTAGGGGAGTGAGATATTCATAATTTGCTTATTTTGGATGTATCTGATGATACCGGGATCAGGGATTCGCACTTTTTTATCTCCATTGACTATATAAATCTCAAAAATTTTCGCATGAAATTTTGACGCCTTGGGCGTCTCCCAAGTTCGGGAGCCTTCACTGCCCACAATTCAAGACAATATTGAACATATTTAAAAATGAGGTTCGACCATCTATAACCCCTTTTTAAACACCATCGGTAATATAATGATCATCTCTCTCTATTAATTTCAGAATTAACGTTTGTCAAACCTGGAGACTGGATAGTAGGGGAAGGAGGTCTTAACGTCTTCAACCCTAAAAGGAGGGGAAAAAACATAAAAGCTCATAAAAATATTTCGAAGAAGTAAGTAACGAGTTAACCAACGCAATGGAAATAAGCCAAAATAAAAATTTTTTAAAATATTTATTTGGAAAAATTAGCTATCATTTCGTTAATCAAAATGAATTTGCAAATTTTGAAGCTTTTACAGAGGATCCAAAAATTATTTATATTGGAGGTATTCTTGTTGAAAAAAATAAAAATATAAATATAACAACTGATAAAAATTTTGTATGTTTTATAAAAATATATTTTTAAAAATTGGTAAAATTCAATTTTGCCCCTCCCCCCTCCCTTTTCCTTCCTCAAAGAATTAAAAAATGGTCAGTTAGTCTTAGGTTATAGAAAACGTCGATCTGTGTCGAATGACACCAGAATCAAGGTAATTGAACAAGATTTGACAAAGTTATGACGTAAAGTATTCCTATTGTCGTCGGTGAGACACTTTTACAAAACCTTTAGTTAAGCGAAGGGTTTTTGTCTGTATCTCGGCCCAAAGTTAAGATCGTGGGTAAATTTTGGTGTCATTCGACACAGCTCGACGAGTTCTATAACCTAAGACTGATGGACCATTTTTTAATACTTTGAGGAAGGAAAAAGGAGGGGGAGGGGAGGGGGGGGACTTGAATTTTACCAAACCTTAGAATGTAAGAAGTTAACGATTTAATTCAAAAATTGTTTTTTCTTATAAAGTCCTACATATTGTCGTCGGTGAGACACTTTTACAAATCCTTTAGTTAAGCGAAGGGTTTTTGTCTGTATCTTAGCCCAAAGTTAATACCGGGGGTAAATTTTACAACCTCCCTTATTTAAGAGTATTTTACCTCTTGTTTTTGTCTCATTTGGAACTCTTAACGTACAAAGTGGATTAAATTTTGCGGATATTGAATTTATGATGCGTGAATTTTATAAATATGAGAATCATTATTTCAAAGTTAGCACAGGCAAAGAAGTTTCGCCAGGAATACGTGATAACTTAGAAATAACTAATGATTTTCTTCTACAGCAAGAAATATTATGTAAATAAATTTTTTTAATTAAATATTTGAAATAGTGTTCAAATTTTGTGCCGTACCAATGTGAAAAATTGGGTTGAACCGTTGTCCTTCGATCCCGGGCCCCTTCTTTCCAAACTGCAGGAAAAGGATGTTATAGGATACGTTCAAGCATTGACCACCGGTTCAAGCATTGTTTTTCCTTACAATTTTCTTCCCTATCGCTGACTAAACAAACTTTCGAATACCGAAAAATACCGAAAATAGTAATATTGAATTTATTTTCATATTCTAGTTGATCCAAATACAAAATTGTTCATTTCTCATTGTGGACAAAATAGTTTAACAGAGGTAATTTTTAAAAATTACGGGGTTAAAAATTACGGATATACTTTAGCCGGTGGCCGGTTCGAAACCGATTCGAAATATATACCATTCGATTCGTCTCGGCGAGCTGAGTCGAATGGTACCACTCTCCAGGCGCGGAAATGCCTGTGGACCGAAATATAGGTCCCCGAAAATCGAAAAACCGTAGGGTCAAGCTCAATTTTGGGGTGAAAAAATCGATTTTTTGAATGATAGCTCATTCGAAAGAGCTCCGCGAGCTGAGTCGAATGACACCAAAATCAACGAAATCCGACTTGATTGGACCGAGATATAGACCCCTAAAAATCGAAGATCCAAAGGGGCGATTTTTGGAATAAAAAATTTTTCACACATATAATACCTCATTCGAAAGAGCTCGACGAGCTGAGTCGAATGACATCAAAATCACCGTGATTGGACAAGATTAGACAAAGTTCTGACAAAAAAACCTAAACCTATGGAGCGTCGGCGAGGCGCTTGTGCAAAACCCCGCGCTTCGCGCGGGGTTTTGCGGCACGCGCCTCGCGGGGAGTCTACGGGCGCTGTGTCTGGGCTCGTAACATAAACCTATTCCTATCTCCCTTGCTCTGGACGTATTTGGGGCCTCCGTAGCAGCAAAAATCTCCACAGATGCCATAGGTAAGGAGCTAAAATAAAAGATCATAACTTTGTCCAATCAAGTCGGATTTCGTTGATTTTGGTGTCATTCGACTCAGCTTGAGGAGCTCTTTCGAAAGAGGTATCATTTGTATAATCGAATTTTTGACCCCAAAAATCAGCTTGGTCCCCCCTATGGTTTTTCGATTTTCAAGAGCCCGTATCTCGGTCCACAGGCGTTTCCGCACCCTGGGAGTAGTACCATTCGACTCAGCTCGCCGAGACGAATCGAATGGTATATATTTCGAATCGGTTTCGAACCGGCCACCGGCTAAAGTACAGCCAAAATTACAGAAGAAAGTTTACCGCAGGTGGTGCGAATTTTTACCTAAAAGTTTTCTACGCGCCTTCGACTTTGTATGCATTGGAAGGGTGGGCCTTTCAAAAATTCTTGTTTATTCTTGTTCCATGTTTAATTCTGTATCATATAAGCTTTAATTGATCCAATTATCTTTCATATGAAAAAAGTTATAGCATAAAATGTGTGCCACATTTCTGTCTTGTCACCCTGCATGTAAAAATTTTTGACTAATAAAAAGTATGGCAAAAAAAACTTTTGCAGAAACCTAGAAGGAACTGGACATTTACTTCATTTTTTAAAATTCAATTTAAAATTAATTTAAATTTAAAGGCAATATATGCAGGTGTTCCTTTAATTTGTATTCCAAATTCGGGTGATCAATTTTACAATTCTTCTCTCGTTGAATATTTGGGTATTGGAATATATGTACTTTTAATATTTCATGACGAGAGAGGCAATTATCAAAAAAATGCAAATTTTCAAATTGATTTTCAGAGGGCTTTGAATGAAATGTTGAACAATTTGTTAGTGAAATTCATAATTTTGCTAGTAAACTTATAGTGTTCCAATGGAAGTTCAGGCTCTGTTTGGCCAGAATTTTCATTGTTTTTTTCCTTTCTTTCCTTGTTTTTTTGTGATTAATTTTATGAAAACGGAAAAGGAAAGGACTAGAAAAAAAATTATTATTTTGGATTTTTATATTTTTATTTAACATGTAAAGTAAACGAAGAATTAGAACTGGTTCCATTCAAAAGTTTAATTCAGATTCCGACCTGATTTCCGGTTTTGAAAGAACACTATCTTAAAATCCAAAAATAAAGTTAAATATTCGCAAAAAATATTTTCTTATATTTTAGTGGTAAATATTTTAACGCAATGCATCAACTTAGAATGAAGATTTTGGAAGAATATATTAACAAGGGTGTTAGAGCTAAAAACACTTTTTTACAAAAAATTTCAGAAGTTATTGGTGATTAATTTAAAAAAAAATGGAAAAGGAAACAAATTTTTATTTTGGATTTTTATATTTTTATTTAACATTTATGGGTGAATTTTCGACATATATTTAACATTTTTGGATTTAATCCAGGATTCAAAATAGAATTTTTATTTAATGGGATTTAAGTCAACTGGATCAGGGGTGGGCGTAGGAGACAATTTCAAAGAACTCTAGCAAAACCAACAGGTCAATGCAAGAGTAATTGCACCTGCTGCCGAATTGCTCCTGCACCCTCCTGAACGGGATGTAAGTAAACGGGCATTAGTGCTGGGTATTGGGCATTAGTTGGCTCCGGCTCCGAGTTCCTCTTTTAAAATCTCGCTCCGGTTCCGGATCTAGCTCCCGAAGCCGTACCCATCACTGAAGGGATATATTTAAGGCATATTTAATTTTGCAACATTTGCATTACTCTTGAACATACAGGGTGACATAAAAGTAACTGCACACACTTTTTTTGAAATAACTTTGATCAAATTGAAGATCATGTGATTAGATAAGGCTTAAATAATAGAGATGGCGAACAATTACAGTCAATTTAAGAAAAATGTTCAATAACGGAATCAAACTTATAATTTCTGAAAGGGAGTTGAATGCAGCTATGAAATGAGCGAAAAAAATATTAAAAAATGTAAACTAGAAAGTTATGATTAATTAAAAGTGTGTTGCTTATTTATGTCACCCTGTAAATGGAAATTTTGACAAAACCAAAGCAAAATACTATGTATTTTTTAATTTTTTTCGATAAATTCTGGTATAAAATTTTTAATTTTTTATTTTAAAAAGTTCAAACAGCTACCGAATTTCTTCAAATAGAGCCCCACCCTCAATTAGAGCACCACCCTCTATTACAGCCCCACCTTGGGGGATAGGCGAAAAATAGAGCCCCATAGGGCTCTATTTGAAGAAATATGGTAATTATTCAATGGGATTACACAAATGATTAAAAAAAACTTTTTAATTTTCATTCCCTGATCTAAATTAAAATAAAAAAAATTTATTTTTTAAATTAATAAGTATGTATGTATTTCTCAGTCATTTAAAAATTAATTATATTTAATAAATTCAATAAGTAATTACTCAAAATTACGTTGTAATTTAAAGTGGAACAACTTTCAATTTTATTTCCTTTAAATTTTTTTAATTTTCATTTCCAATCGAATTTTAAAAAGGAAAATATTAAAAGCAAAAATATTTTATTTTATTTATTTTTGGAACAAAAAATACATTTCCGATGGGTAAGTCGTAGAGCTGAATCTGGATCCAGACCTTGATTTTCACTGATCCAGAATCCAAATCAAGGCGTTTTTCAGCGTTCCTTGTTTTTCTTTAACTCAAGGTCAAGACTAGATCAAGATACCCAACCGAACTCAAGGTCAAGGATTCAGGTTTTTTGAAAATCTCGCTCTCTAGTAAGTAAAGTTGACCCTCGTTGTAGTTTACCCATAGCGCCGGTCCCGAGCGAGTTTTGGGGAGCTCTCCCGACATAGTCCTAACAGTTTCAAATAAATTGACACAATACTATTTTTAATTTTTTTAATTAAATCAGAATTTGATCATTTACAAATTGGAGACCTTGTAGCCTGCAAAATGAGTGCTGGAATTAAAAATGTTACGGTAAGTTTATTTAATCAAGCACAGAAAAGTTGATTAAAGTTATAATGGTTAAGCCAAAGGATTTCAATACAATGGAAAGTTAGTTTCCAATTAAACATAGGTAAAAATTTAAATAATTTACTAATGTTATAAAGACATTAGTGTTTTTGTTCCTTCACTCTACCAGTGTTTGGAAGCTCGTACCAAAATTTGTACGAAGTACGAGTACGAGAAAATTTCTAGCCCACGAAAATAACATAACTTTTGATACTTTTAGTGACCGACCATCTTTTAAGTGAAAAAAAGACCAACACATCCAAAATGCCTAATAATCAAATTTAAAATTTCATTAATCAAATTATTTAAAGCATCGAGGTGTTTATGTTGGAGAAACAATTGGAATAGGAAAACACACAGTTGTACACAATTTTTGTTCGGATGACACAAAAAGTCATAAGCCAAACTTGAGAGATTGGCCAAAAATGATGTTTAATTTAAAAACTGGGGGAGGAATAGTTGTCTGGACAATGGAGGATTTTCGTATTAGTGGAAATGATAAAAAATGGTGGATTGATAATATGGAAGAATTATTTGGAAAATCTAATTTTAGAGGGGAGAAAGTAGCTGAGAGGGCTAGAAACGAGGCTAGAAAATTTTTAAAATTAATTTCAAAATTTATTAATATAGTTAGGGAAACGAGAATATCGTCTTTGGACATGGAATTGCGAACATTTTGCTACTTGGTGTAAATTTGGAAAACCAAAAAGCCCCCAAGTTACTATTTGTAATATTTTGTTTAAATGATAATGTATTTTATTTGTATTTAAAATTTAATATTAAAATTGGCTAAAATCTTGGAAATTGTTATGAAATATAGTATACATAATTATCAACCCCCAGTTATTAGGATTATTCAAAAAATCTACAAAAATTCCTTTAAACTCATCTATTGATATCAATAGAAAATACAAAAGAAACAAAGTTTTAGTAAACTTCCTTCATTGAAATCTGATTCCGATAATTTTCTATTGATATGTATCAATAGATGTTTACAGAAATTTTTGTAAATTTTTTGAACAACCCCTAATGTAGAAACTGGGGGTGGTCTTATAATTGTCTGAAAATTTTAACTTCTTCAAATTAATTCCTTTTTTAACAAACGTCCTCATCTTCATCCTCAGGTTTCTCGTTCAGATAACGAAGATAATCTTCCTCTTCTGAATCTGACTGATTTATGAAATTAATTTTAGTTGGCTCTTCCACCACAGTTTGATTTTGCACTTCCATATAAGTTTCCGTTTCGCCTTTATTACCCTCCTCCTGATTAAAAAGACTTCCTTTTTCAAATTGAATGCTCCCTTCGTAAACGATTGACAATTTACCTTTATTTTTAAAATCTTCATTCTGTGGATTAATAAAAGAAGTTACTTCATTATTATCATCATGAGTATTTCCTACATTTAGATCAACATTTTTTAAGTTTTCTTTTTTATTTTTCCTTTCTTCTCGGTATTTTCGGTTCCATTCATTCCTTTTTTCTTTATTATTTTGCCGATATTTTCGATCCGATTCTCTCTTCTTTTCTCTATTATTTTCTCGGTATTTTCGTTTAATTTCTTTCAACTTTTCTTTATTATTTTGGTAATACTTTCGTTCATATTCTCGCTTATTTTCCTTGTTATTTTCTCGGTATTTTCGTTTATTTTCTTTCAATTTTTCTTTATTATTTTGATAATACTTTCGGTTAGATTCTCGCTTCTTTTCTCTATTATCTATATTTGTTCTGCCTTTTTTCGAAATTGTATATTTCGGGTTTAACGTTTCATCTTTTTGAATTTGAGCATTAACCGATGATTCAGCCCCGTCGTTATTCTGTGAGGTTTCCCCAACTCTAGTTAACTCATTTTGATTTTTACTATTCTTAACAGAATTAATTAAACTCCAAAATATCGCGTTGAATGTTAGGATTATTAGAATACTATCAAGTTTCATCATAAATTAATTTAAAAAATTTATTTTAAATAAAATTTTATGACTAATAATTAAATAAAAATGAGAAATTTTAATTTATTGAATTTAATAAGCAATATAGATGAAAACACATTGGGTATATTATTTTACATTTCATAATAAAAAATATAAAGTACATGTCTAAATTAAAGGAAAGTGCAATAAATTTTTTTAAGTATAAAAATTTTTAAAGTATAAACCAGGGATGATCGAAATTTCGACATAGAAAAAAGGGTAAGAAATAGCCAAACGAAATTTCGATCATCCCTGGTTTATACTTTAAAAATTTTTATATGTACTTTAAAAAAATTTTTTGCACTTTCCTTTAATTTAGACATGCACTTTATATTTTTTATTATGAAATTTAAAATAATATACCCAGTGTGTATTCATCTATATGCTTATTTAAATTAAATAAATTAAAATTTCTCATTTTTATTTAATAATTAGTACATAAAATTTTATTTTAAATTAATTTTTTAAATTAATTTATGATGAAACTTGTTAGTATTTTAATAATCCTAACATTCAACGTTATATTTTGGAGTTTAATTAATTCTGTTAAGAATAGTAAAAATCAAAAGGAGTTAACTAGAGTTGCAGAAGCCACAAAGAATAACGACGGGGCTGAATCATCTGTTAATGCTCAAATTCAAAAGGATGAAACGTTAAACCCCAAATATACAATTTCGAGTAAAGGCAGAACAACTATAGATAATAGTGAAAAGAAGCGAGAATCTAACCGAAAGTATTACCAAAATAATAAAGAAAAATTGAGGGAAAATAAACGAAAATACCGAGAAAATAATGGAAAAAAGAAGCGAGAATCTGAACGAAAGTATTACCAAAATAATAAAGAAAAGTTAAAAGAAAATAAGCGAAGATACCGAGAAAATAATAGAGAAAAGAAGAGAGAATCGGATCGAAAATATCGGCAAAATAATAAAGAAAAAAGGAATGAATGGAATCGAAAATACCGAGAAGAAAGGAAAAATAAAAACTCGAATGTAGGAAATATTCATACTGATAATAATGAGGGAACTTCCTTTGTTAATCCACAGAATGACGATTTTAGAAATAAAGGTAAATTGCCAATCGTTTACGAAGAGAGCATTCAATTTGAAGAAGGAAGTCTTTTTAATCAAGAGGAGGAAGAATGTAATAAAGGCGAAACAGAAACTTATATGGAAGAGCAAAATCAAACTGTGGTGGAAGAGCCAACTAAAATTAATTCCATAAATCAGTCAGATTCAGAAGAGGAAGATTATCTTCGCTATCTGAACGACAAACCTGAGGATGAAGATGAGGACGTTTGTTAAAAAAGAAATTAATTTGAAGAAGTTAAAATTTTAAGAGAGAATAAATTTTAAAGGAGAGTTTCATTTATTTTCGTGATAAATTTTATGTATTGGAAAAGTTTTAAAGTTAAATTTTTTGTTTGAAGGAGAACTATTATTCAAATAAATTCCGGTAGATTGCATCTTTTGTTTCTTTGGGATTCCAGAAATAACACCTAAGAATTTAGACTATGTATAAAGTAATAATTAAAAATTTCATTTAATGTATGCTAAGGCTTTATCTGAAAATTACATTATGGTGAATACTTACATATAAAGGACATTTTGTTCCTTGGGGTTTTAGGTAATTCCAAGGCTGGTCCCCCCTCCTTTTTTTCCTTTCTATTTTTTTCGATTTTTTAAATTTTTTATGGCAAATTATAAATCGTTCGAAAGAGCTCTTCAAGCTAGTCGAACGCTACTAAATTCATCGAAATCCGACTTAAATAAACATAGTCTCTTTCAACATCACAAAAAGCATGTCCATCGAGGATTTAGCTTCATAATTCTGCTCAGAATCTCCAAATCGAACCGATCATAGTATCATTCTACTCAGCTTGAACAGCTCTTTCGAATGCTAATTGTAAATTATATGTCAAGCAAAAAAGCTCAAAATGGTCAGGCGAACAAAAAAAGGGGGGGCCAGCCTTGGAATTACCAAAATTTCATTTAATGCATGCTAAGGCTTTTTTTGAAAATTACATTATGGTGAATACTTACATATAAAGGACATTTTGTTCCTTGGGGTTGACCAATCCATCCAGTCTTATCATATCGGTACTTTAAAAGGACTTTTACCAAATTTTTTTAAAAGAAGCCCGCAAAGTCTCGATACCCGACTCGATAAAAACAACCCCGAAATAAATGCCTCGACTAACGCTCGACTCGAAAACGGCAAACCAAACCAATAATTAACGTAATTAAATTTAAAATATTCCCTCAACAAATAAAAAATAATCCTTTTTTACCCCGTTTTTCTCAACAGATGCATACACAAAAACAGTCTCTGGGCAAAAATTCTTAGATATACATACATATAAATTAATTTTTTTATTCAGTTCCCTTTAATATTTTTAAGCATAAATTTAAACTCTATTTATTAAATTTAAATTTTGTTTAAGAAAAATTAATTTTTTATAAATTATTTTACAAAAATTGTATAAAACAAAGCCTGGTAACCCCCCCCCCCTCTTTTTTCTTTCTAAAGTGTTAAAAATGGTTTTGAATTTGATGTCATTCAACACAGCTCGTTGTGCTCTACATTCGTCTGAAGACTGACTATTTTTAACTTCTTGAGAAAGAAAAAAGAGGGGGGGTACGAAATTCAAAATTACTCAAAGACTTTGTCTGCTTTCAATTTATTTATTATTTTAAGTTTTTTAGAATAATTTAAATTTTTCTATAAAATGACTGAAAATTCATCTAATTATGCTTCTGAAATTGAAGTAAATTTTTTTTATTTATTAAAAAATTTTTTTTAAGTTATCTAAACAAATTGATGATTTAATAAAACAACATAGTGAATTTAAACATTTTCAAATAAAGTTTAAGGAGGAGAGCGACAAGAATGTTAATCTTGAAAAGAAAAATAGTTTTTTAGAAAATGAATTGAAAGAAACGGATAAAGTTTTTGTATTTTTAAAATTAAATTATTTAATTTAATTTTAGAAAATTGATAAAATAAAGTTAGATTATGAAAATGAAATTAAAGAATTAAAACAAAATATTCAACAATTAAAATCTGAAAATGGGCAAAAAGACGAGAAAATTAATTCTTTGGAGGAAAAAATTAAAAAGGTGAATAATACTATTTTTGTTGAAATATGTATGGAAATAAAAATAAATTTAGAGTTTATATCGACTTTACATTTAAATAGTTGAAGTCGAATAATTAACTTCCTGTATCCTTTTGTGGATCTGTTCCCTTTTATGGCAAATTATAGATCATTCTAAAAAGCTCTTCGAGCTTAGTTGAATCAACATAATTTTTAGATCAACATAATTCAACAATAAAACAATTACGTCGAGTATTAAGCTTTATAATTTTGTTCTTTCCGATCGTACCATTCGACACTATCGAAAAGCTCTTTAAATGATACATGATAAATTATAGATAAGGAAAAAAAGCTCAAAATGGTTACCGATTTTACCAAAAACAATTTATTAAATACATGAGAAATTTTGAAAAAGGAATTTTAGGTTATTTTTTTAGGTTAAGAAAGAATTTTAGGTTAAGGAAGAATTTTAGGAAATAATTTTAGGAATTTTTGTTAGCTACATATAATTAAAAATATTTTTTCAATTAATCTATTTAAAAAGGCAAATGATTTATCCGAGAGAAAGTTTGTTGATTTAACAATTAAATTGAACAATTCGATTTTTGAATATGTGGTTAGTTCATA